TCGTCACGAGCCGCAGGGTTTAATTTGGATTTGTCTGTGCATGTTTTTTTTTACTCTCATAGATTTTATTACCATTGCCATGCATTATACGACTGATAAACTACAACGGCTGGAGTTAAAAATCTTAGTTTGTGTTGTACTGAAGAAACAAAGTCACCTACATCTTGGATGCCCTGGGGGTAAGCAGATAAACATAAAATTTTCATTTTTGGGTGAACTATCCCTTTAAGCTTTTTGACCAGATGGAACAAGCAAATCCACATGATTTAAACGAGGAATGCAGAGCAATGATTTCCTACCAGGGCTCATGCGTACCCCAGGGGGTACTTAAGGTTGTTAAACCTATAAAACAGAAATTGTGACCTTTGGTTTCTTTTATAAATAAATTTGACATTTGGTCTTTCTCAGAAAAAGTTTCTCCAGAAAAAGTCCCCCAGAACTGTCAAAACTTGTGACAGACAAACAAGCTCAGGTGTCTTATTATGGTGAGCCTGTTTTTCATGCACAGTCAGGATTGGGCATCATGCCCAGTTCAAAGGCAGGGCACATGTGTCCACAAACTTATGTTTGAGTCGACTTAATTTTGAATGCAACTTCCAAAAAATGGTATCTTTGATTATTAAAATGTATAATTTACATGTACGCATTTCACACACAATGTTTTTGTATTTACTGCACTGCTTTTTCCATGTTTTCTATGTTGAAAACAATGTTGTTCAGTTGTTTTTCCAACATTTCACAATTGTGCTGTCTCACACGACACGGTTTTCTAAAAAATGCTGCGCTCAAGTTAAAAGTAGTTCAAGTCATGAAAACTCTCGAATAGTTTTAACATATTAATTTATATGTTAGTGTATTTACTATTTGCCAATTAGAAGACCAAATACACCAAATGCACACTGCTGCAGAGCAAATATGGACTTGTTACTGCCAACAGACACCCAGACATATTGCTGTGAGCATAAATTCTGTAGCAGTTCTAGACAGGTGGAGATGGGGGAGGTGGAGGGTTTCAGAGGAACTGCACTGCAGGAACAGCTTACAGCGAACGCTGAACCAGACTATTTAAATACTAAGCAAGCAATCTCATTGGCCGGTCAGCTTGTGCCATGTAGTAAATGGTGTATTTGCTAGCAGATTGCATGTAAAGGACCTGCCATCTAGCATTTTATGACTGAAATAGATATTTAAACTTTTTAAAAATATATTTAGACCCTGCTTTTTTTTTTAAACACAAAAAAAGTGATCTGCGCAAATGGTCTCTTGCGGTATCTTGCACCAATGGACCAAGAACTCCTAAAATTCTTGACATCCCTGTGCACATTATTAATTTGTTTTGGTTGTTTTCATTTAATGTGAATCAGGAATAATAATACTAAAAATGTCCACTTTTGTCAAATCAATGATTTTTGTATTTTTGTATCTTCTATAGTATCAACACACTTCTGGTTTGGCATTAATTAAAGGCTATTTGAACCTTGCTGAGGGGGCGAATAAGACACAAAGGAGTTGGGAAATACTTGTGTTGTGGATTAGATTTAGTTTCCAAATCACCCACTCCGATGAAATGTGTTTGGAAATGTGGTAGGTGTTCGGCATCCAAACAGTTGGATGTACTGGAGCAGTGTGTTTGGGTGCTGAGTTACTGAGATCCTGCTACTGTTCAAGCTCTTCCTGGAGTGGACCCATCTTGCTCTCCTCTCCCTGTGATGGTGGGTACAAAATGTACACATGCAATGCAGAGTTTGTTCTATTATGTAGAACGTTCAAGGGTCAGTTGCACTAACTTTGACATAAAGGGGCATTAAGTTACACCTTACTCACTTCTAAATATTTTTGCGTTGCATCTACAAAACTTGACCATTAAAAGATTAAACTTAAATCTACATATAAACTAAATACCAGGAGTAATGTCTGCAATAAAAAAATAGCAGATTGACTGAATTGCATAAATAAGCTTGTTTTGCCTGGCAGACTTCCTTAGACATATATGACAGTATATGATAATGTTGATGTTTACACGTTTAGGCTTAAATTCCAAGTGAGAGAACATTAAGTGTATAAATTACTTTGTTAGACAAACCTAACCTAAACAATGTGCCTTTGTGTGCATTGGTCTGTGTTGTGCATGTCAAATAAAATTGAGAAATGTCATATTATTCCAATAACTTGTGAATGGCTGGTGTAACACTACCCAGTAGTTTTAGAACAAACCTAAGGATGAACCCTACAAATATTTGAGTTTTGAATATGCAGTTGTAGCACATGTATTAATTTCTCTATAATTTCTTGAAGACTCACTAGCAGGCACCTTTAAGGCAGCAGGAATCGAAGATGTGCAATATTACCGGTACTGGGATGCAGAATCCAATGGAGTGTGTGTGGAAAACATGGTGCATGACTTGGAGAATGCTCCGGAACAATGTGTGGTGGTCCTGTTTGCTTCAGGCCACCGTCCCACCGGTGCTGAACTTTCTCAGGAGGACTGGAAACGTGTGGCTGAGGTCATGGTGGTACGGTTTCACAATGAAACACGAAATCAAGCTTAGAAACTCTTTCCCGATTGGGTAGAGTGAGAGAGTTCAATAATTTATAGCATTCATTATCAGGTGTGTAAGGCTAGTTAGACCTTTCAGGGTAAGATCAAATTTACTTCACTAAACATCTAACCATGAGGATGAAAGACTTTCTGAAGTTTTTAAACACTTTCTTTCACATTTTCCTATCCATAATTCATAGTCTCTATGCACTCTTGTTAAAACAAGTAAACAAATAGTTATGGTTAATAAATGCTATCAGATGTATAGGGTACAACAGCACTAAAGGCACACCTTAAGGAAGATGTGCTTTTCACTGCTTGCATAGTGCATGACTGCAGAAAAACAACAAATATTTTATTATATGATATGATGAATGTAACATTTTTAAATATAATGGCTTCATTATAAATATTGTGATTACCTTTAAGGTGGACACCAAACTTAATAAATTGTATTAACCATCTTAATTTAACCATTTCATGTTGACAAATGGAAAAATCAGCCATCTATTTATTATCATGTTAATTATTGTACATTTAAGGATGCTTTATATATATATATATATATATATATATA